CATGGTGGTGCTTGGCTTATCTCCATATTTGTATTCCCTGAAGTGCCTAGCATGGTACTTTTCAAATTCTTACTAACAGCTTTATTGAGGTCTAATTTACATACCGTAAGAGTCACTCATTTAAATGCACAATTCAGTGATTTTTGTATACTTACGGAGTTATGCAAACATCACCACAATCTAATTTTAAAATATTTCCATCACCCCCAAAAGAAACCTGGTGCTCATTTACAGTCATTCCCCACTCCCCATTCTGGACTTAGCCCACCACTAAATTACTTTCTGATTCCACAGATTTGCCTTTTCTGAACACTTCATATCAGTTGAATCATACAGTATGTGATCTTCTGTGCCTGACTTCTTTCACTGTGACCATAATGTTTTTGAGGTTCATCTGCTGCAGCATTTGTCAGCATTTTGTTCCTTTTTATTGCCAAACATAATTCCATTACATGGATATACCACATTTTATTTATCCATTTATCAGCTGATAGACATTTCAATTGTTTCCACTTTTTGGCTACTCTGAGTGATGCTGTATGAACATTTGCATATAAGCCTTTGTGTAGACAAATGTTTTCATTTATTTTGGGTAAATACCTAGGAATGAAGTTGCTGGGTTTAACATTTTGAGAAAGTTCTAAATTGTTTTTTTAGCCTAGTACTTCATTCTAAAATATTTTATGATTTGAAATGCTACCAATCTATAGGTAACATAATTTTTCTTGAAAGCCAAGTTGCATCCTGGAAATAAATTTTCCGCTACTTGCCTTCTATTGTTACAAATTCTCTTAGAATAATTTGCACATACTCATAAGGTCCCAGGATATTAGTTGCTACTTTAGTTTATCTCTAGTGTTTCCCCAGTGTTGAATAAGTTTTAGAAACACCAATCTGAATCACCTATACTTTTAGGTGATTTTTTTCCTCAATACTATAAATTGTATAAATGATGGTTACTACCACTATAAAAACATTTTCCCTCATAGAACTCACTACTCACTCAGCCTTACATACTCAATTTTAAAAGTCTTGAAACCTAGAACCCTGTTTTAGTTACATAGTTTCAGAGTCTTAATAGAGTATATTTCCTGTCTTAGGCACTAAATGTTTCATAAATGAAAAGACATTCTATTTGACCAATGAAAGAAGTGTGGTTCACTCACAGGTAACTGGGAAATTTATTAACCCTTAGGTTTGGTAACATACACATAAATACTGGTGATCCTGTTTATTATATTCAGATCAGTCTTAGATATTGTTATTTTGTTTCCAGACTTCTTTCTTTTTCATTCCCTAGATCCCCTTCCTATGTTATTTGCATTTTTTCCAGATTTTTAAGTCCAAGAATGCATGCATATTTTATTCTTTTATTCTGGTGTAACGAAGGCCAGGTGAGGATAAGCAATCAACAGAAGTGAAATCACTGAGCTTGGTCTTACCTGAGGACAGAATTCTATAGCCATCTCCCCTAGGAAGCAGTCTTATACCATTTTTGGTCCAGTGAATTGAGGGAAATGGAACTCCCGAAGCAGTGCAGGTAATTACTGCTGGGGCATGTTTGGTTACTAGGAAGTCCGTAGGCTCATCAGCTATGGAAGGTGGAACTAAAACAACAATAACAAAAAGAAAAAAAAAACTATATATTTCCAACTTTTAAAGATTTCCAAAGAATTATAATCCTCTTTGTGCTCTGAAAGAGAAAGTTAGGTAAGTAGAAAAGGGACACCTCCTGTTATTTCTTGGTTAATACCTGGGTGATGACATAATCTGTACAACAAACTCCCATGTCACAAATTTACCCATATAACAAACCTGCACATGTACCCATGAAGTTAAATTTTTTTTTTTTTTGAAATGGAGTTTCGCTCTTGTTACCCAGGCTGGAGTGCAATGGCACGATCTCGGCTCACCGCAACCTCCGCCTCCTGGGTTCAGGCAATTCTCCTGCCTCAGCCTCCTAATTTTTTTTTAAAAAGGAAAGAAAAGGGATCCCTCTTGTAAAGTATTGGAATGATGAAGTATAGTATTATCATCTTTCAGTCCATGTTCCCAGCCAGTTCTACCTTGGACAGTGAGATCCACAGTTCTTTTATCATCTCCAGCACCATTTGTCACAGTACACTCATAGGTTGCAGTGTCATCCACAGAAGGGGAAATAATTACTAGTGAACCTGAAGAAAGGAGCCTAGAAGACAGATTTCAAAGCATGAGATACCATATGTAGGTTTTCATCCACTTTTCCAGCTAGTTCAAGATGATACCATGTTGAAAATTGATGAAAACAGTACTTCTCCCTCATGTTAAAATTAACATCATGTCCCTGAAGAAAATTTTATGCATTAGAGTTTATGTTTATGTTTTCTGCAGTGGCTTTCTAGAGCCTCAAACTTGGTATAATATTTACAGGAAGTACTTGTTGGAAGGATTGTCTGAAGAGGGAATCTTATAGTCTCTGAATGCTCATTTCATGATCAACCTTGCTCTTCTAGGAGAAATACAGTACAATGAGAACACCAATTACAGCCACTGTTTACTGTTTACTGAGCATCAGATACACTCCTGGCACCATCTTAAATGCTTTGGATAAATTATCTCTAAATTTCACAATAACCTAGCAGGTTGATATTTGTTTATTTCCATTGGCAGATGGCTAATGAGTGGGTCTGTGTGGCTCACCCTTTTCCCTACTTCGCATGTCTCCTTAAATGTGTGGCTACCTTTTAGATAATATGGCAATATCTATTTCTATATACATATATATATAGTTTTGAACAAGTGTGTGTATGTGTGTGTGTATATATATATACACAAAACTAAAATTTAGAACACTTCAAATTTTAGGAAGTTTACTAAATACACATGTATGATTTAAAGTAGATCTAAATTAGAATTATCTATTTTACTTCACACTGTGAATGACAGAATAGAAATGATTTAATAAAAACACCAATAAAAACATATTTGACATACTTTTTATTCAAAAGCATGGCACATTTTCCATACTGTATATACTTTCAAGTCACTGAACCTCCCAATGCCAAAAGATTAAAAGGGCGAGAAAGAGAGGGACAGGATAGAATTTCAACTAAAGCACTCCTAGTTTCATATTTCCTGGAGTATGGGAATTGATTTTTGTCAAGTGGACATAAGAGAGCATTTGTTTTTAGCACTACAGCCAATGTTTGAGAGAGTAACGACCAGGTAAGATACAAAAAAATGATGCTCATCTATAACATCAGAAATTCTTAGTGATTTAAAGTTTAGCCTTTGAAAAATAGATATTGCCATATTATGAGATATGGTTGTAAAGCTTAGGCAAAAGAAAAAAAATGGAGAAAATGCTGTTTTTCCTCCCTACACATTCTGCCAATATCTAAATTGTATTTTAAGGCATAAAATTTGACTTTTAGTCTACAACTAAAGCTTGTATTTATTTTTACAGAATAGTTTTTCATTATATAAAATGATGTTTTTATCCTTTGCCCTTATAAATGTCTAAAAGGTACTGAACACCTAAGGCAGGATATAAATCTAATCACTGACAGTCATCCACAGGGTGTATGTATGCAAAATTGACCTAGAATTTAGAAAAATATTTCAGGCTGAAAAACGAAGTCCATATTAAGGAAAAAATACCCACTCTCTACTAGCTCATTTGTTATAGTCTACAGATTAGCTGACGCCCCGATAGAACTAAAATGTTGATTCATTACAAACTGTTTCCAAATAGTTGGTGGGAGTTTTTGATTAAATTATCCTTACCTGTATGAATTCTGATTTTGATCCACATTAAGAAGATGCCCATTTTTTCTCCAATTGATTAATGGTTTTGGTATCCCAGTAGCCTCACAAGCCAGAGTAGTTTGAACATTTACTGTTACAGTCATGTTGGTAGGACCCGGAGCAATAGATGGAGGAACTAAGACAATGTCACCAAATGAGAAGGAAACACAGTCAGCAGACAGTATGCCATTTAAAATACAGCCACTGAACTGAAATTCGTTACTATTAACTTGCCTCCTAGTCATGAGCACAACAAGGCCCTGTGATTTTAACAGTGCTGTGATGATGTTACCTATACTAAGGAGAAAACTTGGGGGCTGCCGCTTCATGATATAAGGTAAATTGCTTCACTAGCCTTCAGTGTCAAGGTCTTTATGACCTCACTAGTTTAGACTATCAAAGAGCATTTGACACAGAGACTGGATGTTGTCTATAAAAGCATATTTACCATGGACCTGTAAATCTATTCGCCTGCGATCTGTTCCAGCAGCATTGGAGGCCATACACAAATACCGTCCAGTGTCAGTGACATGTGCTGACTGAATATGAAGGAATCCATTTTCCAAGATGGAATATCTGCAAGAGAAATCACAAGTGAAGTCTTCTGAATCAGCCTTTTTGGATTATTCATATTTTGTCTGAGGGAAGTGTTAAACCCTTGGTGAAATCCATTCAGGTTTTTTCCTGTTTCAGATGACACAGGTTTACAATACCATTGATGGAAGAAAAGGATACGATGCAAAGGTGCATAGATGGGCTTGTGATCTTGAGTGGATTATAATCATTACATAGACATAAGCCTTAGGAATTATGCTTTTAAAATACTAAATTTTGGCCTGGAGTGGTGGCTCATGCCTGTAATCCCAGCACTTTGGTAGGTTGAGGTAGGTGGATCACCTGAGGTCAGAAGTTCGACACCAGCCTGGCCAACATGGTGAAACCCCATCTCTAGTAAAAATACAAAAAATTAACTGGGCATGGTGGCACGTACCTATAATCCCAGCTACTTGGGAGGCTGAGTCAGGAGAATCACTTGAAGCCAAGATCATGCCACTGAACTCCAGCCTGGACAACAGAGCAAGACTCCATCTCAGAAAAATAATAAATAAAATACTAAGATGAAAGGATTAAGCACAATGAGACCAAAATAGTGCACTAGAAAAAAAATTAAGAATTTGCATTTCAGGTCTTACAGTATTTTTTTTATTTTCCAGAATTGTTACCTTGCATGATTCCCAGCTAGAACAGCTCCATCCTTTCTCCATGTTATCCTTGGAGTTGGCACACCTTCAGCAATGCATTCCAATACAGCTGACTTATTTAAAAGAATTACAAGACTCTGGGGGCCACCGTTTATGTTTGGAGGAACTGAACAAGAGATGCACATGAAAAAATTCAGTTATACTAAATAAAACAGGCTGCATGAAGACCCTGAAGATGTAACATGAGGTGAGCTTTGAGTCAAATGTATAGCTTTGTCTATGCAAATCTACGTTAGTATAAATAGAATTGAGGTTTAATTCCTGAAGTCTTACTCAAGATACTTAGTGTTTAAAAATAAAGGGGGAGGGGAATTTTAAATGCTGAATATGATGTATGATATCTGGCTTGCTGTGCGAGAGGCTTGAATAAAAGTCAGCTCTAGTCTGATGCAAATTAAAGATGATATTTCTTATTTCTCTTTGGCCAAATAATGGTCAGAGAATGTTAACACTGGAACAGCTTCACTTTAAACGAAGAACAGAAAGTGGGCTGTTTTAACAAAAAACACATCTGTGACTACTCATGCAATTTTCAGAGCTGCATTTTATTGGTCATTAAGTTCATATGGGAATAGACAGCATGAATTTTAATTTTAGTATTAGAGGTATTAGTTGTGTGGGTCACCCAATATTCTGTAAAATTTTATATATTAAATATCCAGTAGACTGTTTTGGGGAAAAGTCTATATTATCTTCCCAAATGTTGGCATTTAGATGTTATATTTAATAGAATTACAGTCCTATGACAGTCTCTGTCTGGCACATATATACTCTCAGCCACCATCAGTTAAGGTGAACTAAATGATGGGCCATTTGTTATCCAGTGATTTAGTGTATTGACTTCCTCAATGGTTCTGATTCTGAATGACACAAAACATCAGGATATGCTAATAACAGTTGGACATATTCTCTAAGAGTAAAATATCTAGTTATGTTTTTTGGAAATTGAGTTAATTTGCAATATAGATCTAATACAAATACTACATGTTGCCTTTTTCAAAAGCAGTAAGATAGCACACAGCTTCATTTAGTACACTCATACAAAAAAGCTATCATCTCTTTGAATGCCCTTGGTTAGATTTTTTTTTTTTTTTTGAGACGGAGTTTCGCTCTTGTTACCCAGGCTGGAGTGCAATGGCACCATCTTGGCTCACTGCAACCTCCGCCTCCTGGGTTCAGGCAATTCTCCTGCCTCAGCCTCCTGAGTAGCTGGGATTACAGGCACGCACCACCATGCCCAGCTAATTTTTTGTATTTTTAGTAGAGACGGGGTTTCACCATGTTGACCAGGATGGTCTGGATCTCTTGACCTCGTGATCCACCAGTCTCAGCCTCCCAAAGTGCTGGGATTACAGGCGTGAGCCACCGCGCCCGGCTGGGTTAGATTTTTAAATTGTGAAGCAATGAATACCTTTTCTTACCGTTTACAGTGAGAATAAATTCTCTTGTAGTCTTTCCTGCAATGTTGCTGGCAACGCAGGTATAATTGGCTGTATCGCCTAGATCTGCGTTGTTAATTTGCAAGTATCTCCCTCCGGATAGGATTCGCACTCGAGGTGTTGCCTGGATTCAGCAAGAAAATAAATTTACCATTAAAATGTCAGGAGAAGAGAATACATATTATTTCACAGCATCAAAAGTGATTATAGTAAACTGTGAAGCTGCTGTCTGTCAGCATGCTTTGTCTGCTACTCTACCATTTTCGTAGTTATCAAAAATCTCCGGAAAGTGTTTTAATGAGTGACATTAAGTCAAAGGAAGAAGCAGTATCCCCAGATCCTTTGACAATATGATCCATTCAAGAATGGGCAGGTGACTCAAGTCAGACCTACCAGAGTCCTCCTCTAGACTCTGCTGGGAGTGTCGGGGAAAAGGTGTGCCCTTTTTCCTAGAATCACAGGTTGTGAGGATGACCTAAGCCTAGTGACAATCTTATCATGTGGAAACAGCCTGCCCTGAATCTAAGACAAAGCAAGTAGAGTTAAGATTTCAGAGAAAGGAGAGATCCCTCATGTATAGTTAGAGCCTCTGGAAATTCACCAATTATTTTAGCCAATAAATGCCCTTTTGGTTTTTACTTTTCATTTAAGTTGATTTGAGTTTGAATTCTGTCACTTACAACTGAAAGCTTGCTAATTAACTTTGGTTAACTTAGAGGAAAATGTTGTGCTCTAACATTTTAAAATATAAGTAAATAAACTACTAGAAATATTTCTTAAGAATTTATTTTGTATCTAGGCACGGACCAAAAATTATGAAAATATAGTACAATGAAACATAATCTCTGCTATTAAGTCTAATTGGAGAGAGACATATATAAACAAGTAATTGAAGGATAAAATATATGATGTTCATAATTGTTAAAAAATTCCAGATAGCATCAGAGACTGATATTCTCTCATTGTACCCAAAATGAAAGTATTTCAGGAACATCCCAAATAAGATTTGTCTACCATATGGGCCTGACCCTAGATAAATCTTTCTAATAAAAAATTGTTCAAAGTAAAAATGCAGTTCATGTCCATTTATTTTAAAAATTTACACATTTTCTCTAGGCCTTTTATTTCTACTGGGGCTACTAGAGATAAAATTATGTTACCTTTTATGAGAATAAGTGATTTCTTAAATATGTATAGTAAGTTCTATAAAATATATTTTAATTTTTAACTTTTATATGGGTATAGCAGGCTATACTCATTTAGGCTAATAAAAACTTTCAGAGTGACTTCTTTTTTCTTAAGAGACAGCATCTTATTCTGTCACCCATGCTGCAGTAGTGATACTACTGTAGTTCACTATAACCTCAAAATCCTGGGCTCGAGTGATCCTCCTACATCAGTCTCCTTAGCAGCTACAACTACCGATGTGCTCAACCATGCCCAGCTAATTTTAATTTTTTTTTTTTTTTACTGATGGTGTCTTGCTGTGTTGCCCAGGCTAATCTTGAATCCCTGGCTTTAAGCAATCCTCCTGCCTTGTGCTGGTGGTTACAGAGTGAACCACCACACCTGGCTCAGTGATTCTCATAATGTTTTTCTTCCATGAATAGCAGTACTTTCTGTAAACGTATTAAGTCTCATTACAATTTTCTCTGGTTTTCCTTCCCTAGACCACCTATAATTCTTCCAAATTTGACTTGTCACCTCAGATAGAACCTCATTATTAACTGACAATCTCGCTTCCTGTTCCACTGACAAAATTAAAGCCCCAAACCAGCAGTTCTCCCCTCCTCCCACCTTGGATACGAATGCGACCTTCTTTTCTATTTCCCCATCTCTGCAGAAAATGGGCAACCCTTCTGGACAAGGCTAATTCATTCAACTGCATCCTGGGTTTCATTCCTCCCCCATCCAGCATAACTTGTCCTATCAACTGCTCTTCCTCTCTCCTATGTCTTCCATCTCTTTCTTTCAGGCAATACACATACAGAAATCTGTAAAGACCAGTTCATGCTTGTTTCTACTTCCTCTTCTTCCATAAATCCCCAAACAACTGTAACCTGCCTTGTACTTTGATCACTCTTTGAAGAACCATTGCTGAGATCTTTAATTACCTCTATGTACTGCCAAAGCCAATGGACACAGCTTCGTACCTTTTGTGGCCTTTGTTAATCACCCCCACTCTTTCCCTTGGCTTTCAGTACACCAGTGTCTCCTACTTCTAATCCTATTTCTGAGTCTTCTTGCTCAGTCTCATTCATCTTCTTTTTTCATATGTTCACCTTTTAATTGTTACAATTACCTAAAGCTTTATTTTCACTTAACTGGGACTTTCATACTCTGCTTTCTAGTCAACCTCCTACAAACTTATGACTTCAACAAGAGAGTATATCATGATGATTACATCGAAGACTGCTTTTTCTAAGTAAATATGGACCACCACATCAAAGCCTTTTTTGATGAAATACAGGCTAATATTTTAAAATGATTTCTACAGTCTCCTCTTGGAAAATATAGGTAATTCAAACTCAAAATGTCTAAACCTGAACTCATCTTTTTTTCATTTTTCATCATGAGTGAACTTACCCTTTCCTAGGACTGACATGACTTGGTCAACCTGGGATCAACTAGACTTCTCCAACAATATTCACTCAGTTTTTACCTTTACTCCTAATGGTCTGGAGTGAAATGGATACATGAGAGATCAGACTATGGAGGCAAAGTCAGAGCATGAAAGGGCTTATGAGCTAAGTTGTGTGGTTTAACCAGACTCCTGAAATCAATGGGGAACCATCAAAGATTTTAATCAAGGTGTATTTCAGGGATGCCATGCTACTACCAGTTTTCAGAACAGCAGCCCTCCTTTTCCTGTAATAGCTTTGTATCTGCCATTACCTGTGATTGGAATCACTTTCTTCTCCTGCCTCACCCAGTATATACTGATCCTTTAAAACTGAGCTCATCTTTTCTAAGAGGCTTCCACGGGCTGTTGCTTACCCTTTAGTCTGGGTTATTTGCTTCTCATCTCTGTTTCTACACATCCTCCTAATATACAATTAGTATCCATTCTATAATCTTTGACTAACCTGTCTTCTCAGATAGTGTGTGAGCTTCTTGAGGGTAAATACCATTTTCAGTAGCAATCAGAGCACCTTGCATTATAGTCTGCATACAATAAATAGCGAAACAAAAGTACAGGAGGGTTAGGTGATAGGCATGATGATTTAGCATGTTAGTAACTCTCAGAACCCAGCCTCTCCATGTTTGGTGTTTGTGTGGTTTGGTGGTGGTGGAAGTCTTTATGTCTTAGGTGTGAGGGGACATAATCTCCTTTTGTAATTTGCTAGAAACAAAGTGTAGGTTATGATAAGACAATGAGGAAGAACAAAGAAAAAAAAAGGAATAGCTAATCACTGGAATAAACACAATCAAAACATTCAAAGTCAGATTTTTCAGTGGTCTCTAAAAGGCTACTGAGGTTCCTGGCCTTAGACACTCTATGACAGCAGGTAGGTATCATGTGAGCATGGCAAACTTTGACAGCCAGTGACTGGTTCTTCATGGATTCCAGTCTCAGACGCCTGGTATCTTTGGGGTCACTCGTGAGGTCCAAGCTTAGACCAGGAAAATTCAGTAAAAGAAGCATTCTCCCTAGGCACATGGCAGTTGTTTTGAGACTTTGATAGTTTCTTCTCTCTTAAGAAAGAGCTGAATATTTCAAATCAGACTTTAATCCATGGACTTCAGG